TTGCGGGGGGGGGGGGGGGGCTTTATAGTCTCCACTATTTCTTCAAACACTGTTGGGTTAAATGTCTTACTGTTTCATTGTCAGTGACTTTCTTCATTTTCTGTTTTCTTCTTGTCTATTGTTGCCAGGTGGAGTCCATCTCTGACATAGAGTCAGAGGAAGAGGTGGAAGTGACTGACATTAGTGATGAAGACCCAGATGAAAGAGATGAAGAGTTCGAGCTGTTCTCTCCTTGCCACTCTAGAGCCGCTGACCACCACCACCACCTTGCTAACGGCACAGCCGGGCCCCACCATCAACCCCATCCTGATGAGGACCTGGATGAGGATGTCTTCAAAGCCCCTGCTCCTCCTCCACCTGGCCTGATGCCCTTCTTCACCTCTCAGCACACACACTCCAGCACCTATCGCGGGCTGCCCACTCTTAAGAGTGAACCCACCGAGCCAGGGGAGAGCAACACGACCGCACCTCAGGCCAGCTCAGCAGGAGTTCTCCAGACCAAGTGCATCCCCCTCAAGCTACGTTTCAAGAGACGCTGGAGCGAAGACCAGCGCATGGAGGCTTCACAGGAGGAGTCAGAAAAAAAGATGAGCGGGAAAGAGAGAGCCAAAGTAATGGGCAGATGGAGATGGAGGAGGACGGGACAGGCAGTGGAGAAGGGGACAGCCCTCCCCCGTCAGCGTACGAGGGCTCTTTAGCCACGCCGCTGGCCTCACACCGAAGAGCGAGTGCAGAGCTGCATCGTGCCACTGCGCAGCTGTCTCTGGAGAACAAAGACTGCTGATGACACCCGCAGCCCAAACACTATTGCTCCAGCAGCACAGGAGGTGGTACAGGAGTATGTAAATGGTTCCTTTGTAATCTTTCTCCCATACTGACAAACTAGATTCCCGAAACCTCCAGTGAACTGAAAACACAGTCCAACACACATATGACACCAACACCTGGGCGGCTGTGGCTCAGGAGGTAGAGCGTTTCCTAACCGGATGATTAGCAGTTCGATTCCCGGCTTGTCCAGTCAACATGTCAAAGTGTCCTTGAGTAAGACACTGAACCCCCAGTTGCTCCCGGTGATGTCGCCGGTGTGTGAATGTGTGAGTGCTTGAGAGTGCGAATGGGTGAATGGCCGAACAATGTGAAAGTGCTTTGAGTGTGCTGTAAAAGCGTAGAAAGGCGCTATACAAGTATAAGACCATTTACCATTTACCACCTCAAAGACAGCCCGACTCTTGTTGTGTCCTGGATCGGGGCTTTTAGGGACACATTCTGTGGGAGGGGGGGACTTGCTCAGACTCAGCCCTCCCAGGCACGGCGGCCTTCACCAAGGCTGAAACCAGTGGGTGCCAGTGAAGCTCCAGATGCCCCGTCCCAGTAGCACAGCTCCCACCATCAGCCCCCCACCAGTAAGATCTGCAGCCTGTCAACACTTTCCTCAGGGGACACACACTCCCTTACAGCCCAGCAACACACCTACAGTGATGATGCGCACACTCTCCCCTATGCTACTCTTCCTATAAGGGACTTTGATAAGTGCCTGTATCTAAAACCCACAGCCCTGGAGTTACATGGAAGAGAGCAAAGATGGGAGAGTGTCAGGGAGGAGGACTGCTTTTAGCTACCATCTTTTAACTCGTGAAACTCTTATAAAGTTTGACAGATACTGACAAATTATGTGGATAAAAAGGAAAGTGTCTCAGACTGATGACTGGGGCTGTTGGGGGTTGTCTGATGGACTCCTAAACCTGGCCCACTCCACTCAGGGAAGCCTATTGCTGTATGTTTATCAGATTCCCACACACACACACACACACACACACACACACACACAAGCAAAAAACATCCAGCCAACAGTGAATGGGACTTGAGGACTATGGACACAAAACAGTGTTTGTTGTGATGCAAGACCATGCACACTCATAAACATGCACTCACGCATACACAGACTTTGTGGCACACTGTTCCTTCAGAGCTTTTGACTTTTGTACAACCTTCCTTCTGTCTCTTTCCTGTCCTGCCCCTCTTTCTCTTGCGGACCACCTGTGGAAAGATCCCGACTCCTCTCACAGAAATAATTTGAACCCCAGGGGGATGTGAGGAGAGCTGCTGAGGGGACCACAAGGGGACAGCAGCAGAGGGAGGAAGGATTTGAGGGGACTCCAGTAAATGTTAACTCACCGAATCATGGCTTGTAAACTGAAAATAATTTCCCTCAATCTCTGGCAGCACAGAATCCTAGTTCACCAGCTAAAGCTCATCTAACAATCATAGATAGTGTTAAACTAAACCAGCAAAGGCACACACACACACACACACGCATGCACGACACTGCCTTTAGCTCATAAACATGCTCCCTCTCTCCCTGTCTGGATCTCCAGCTCTCCTTGTAGTGCCGTCACACTCAGGTCCTGAGAGTGTGTGAGGCTGCCAGGCCTGTTTAACTAACAAGTGTGAGAGCCTCGGAGAGCAGGGAACGTGCGCACACACAAACACACAGCCTTTCTATGCCTTGTTTTTATAGCATGTACAAAATGTAAACTGAGCTCTAATAACACACATACAGACTTTATATATTCTAAATGAAATTATTAAAGAAAAGTGAGATTTTAAAAGCATTTTAATGATATGATTGATTCAGGATATTTGGTAAACAGATTATTTTGAGTGGTAGGAAGTGTGCAGCTCACTTAGTGATGTGACACAGAGGGTGGTTGCACTGACTAAAGAAAGGTGGGGGTCCGGGTTGTACTTGTACATTTGTTTCATAGATAAACAAGCCAGAGAAAAACAGCATGGCCCAGCTGACCAGCAGGAGTAAAAACAGGACTCGACTGCAGACTGCTGATGATTCAGATGTGTGCTTCACTCTGCTGTTCACTTTGTTCGCAGTCGCTCGCAGCACTCTGCTCTTTCCTGTCTATACAGTCTAGTGAGCTTCAGTGGGGTTCTTCCCAGCCCGCGCTGCTCTGGCCCAGGGCCATGTCGCCAGGCCCTCTGTGTGCGTTTTGGATTTGGGGGGGTTATTAATGCAGTAGTAATTCCTCATAGGCCAGCTAGCATAATTCTGCAAAGTCTGCAGCAGCTCTGGATTAGGGCGGGGTGTGGGTTACACCTTACTGTAAGACAGCCTGGAAAAGTGAGGCCATGCCCCGAGGCACCCTCTCCTCCAACTATGCACCTTCTCACACACACACACACACACACACACACACACATACATAGACACAAATGATGTTTGCAGTTATGCTTTAACATCCCAGAGCTTTTCTTCTCTGCCATCTGATTGGTTAACTGAGCCGTGCTGACCGACCTGTCCCTGTCTGGCCAGTGACGAGACGGGTCTACAGCACAGGGCTGTGAGATAGATGGCCTCCAGGCGGTCTGTGTAGCTGAGCTGATCGAATTTCCTCATCAGACCCCTGTGGTCTGGACTGGAGCATGTCACAACACACACAAACACACACACTCGCCCCCACCATGTCCTGTGTCTGTATTTGATCTGACAGCTGCCTTACTACTACTTTTCATATCTCAGCAACAGATGAGGCATCAGTCTTACCCGCTCTGCTCTTTCTCTCCTCTTTCTGTTTCATTTTGTCCTCTCTCTGTTTTGGGCGTCTTCTGACTTTCTGCTAACTGCAGCGTGCTCTCACTCAGTCATGATATTGCAGGGTGAAAACATTGATTGGAGTCTGATTGTAACAAAGGCTCTTGCTCATCCTGTGTCAGACCTCTAAGAACAGGCGACAGACAGCACAGAGATTACATTTCTTCTATCAAAAGAATAAAGGTTTCTGGGTTTATTTTTCTGACGTCACTATTGCTATTGATTATTGTTGTTGTTAGCATTGTTCTCATTCGGTTATTTACCTCTCCACTTGGCATTATTATTATTCCACGGCTCTGTTAGCTGTTGCTTTTTATGTTGTGCACATCACTTTGGATGATGTGGAACCGCCCCAAACTCCATTCCCTGTTTCAGACCTTCAAACTAACCAGGAGTCTTTTCCCTGTCTTTAGTTTCTACAGTTGTAATATAACTAAAATGTGTAATATTAATTTTGATGCTGACAGAAGTGACATCGAGAGGCACCAGCAGAGGAATTTATTTAGGGGCAGAGGGGGAGTGGTTTTATCTCTTTTGTCATGTCTTGTAATTTTTATTATGTTTTCTCTCTCTCTATCTTGATCTTGTATATTTTTTGTTTTTTGGGAGGGGGTTTGTATCATTTTAAAAGAAGAAAAGATGTGTATTGTTTTACTGTGTAAAGGTTTATCTTCTCCCTCTTTCAGTCTACTTCCTTCAGCTCATCTCCCCCCAGCGGTTATATAACACTCAGTAGAGATGAGAGTTAATACCATGATGTAACATTGAATTCTACTTCTTTCCTGTTTTTTTTTTTCAAACTTGTAATTAAGCTGTAATCAGGGTTAATTAAAACTGGTTAAAACCCAATATGAATATCACTGTGTTTGTTTATGTCTCTTTCATACATAATCAGACAGCGGAATTTTATTGCTGGGTTATTTGTAAACAAAAACATTAGTCCCTGACTTTGTCTAGTCAACCACAAGCCAACAGTCATATGAGGCCTTTTGGTATTTCAAGGTTACATTTAATTACACTGAAAACAAAGTGACACTAAATAACATTTTGAAAAGTGGTCTTCAGAGGGAGGTGGCTTAAAGAAAAGGTTTGACATTATAGCAAATGCGCTTTCTTTCTCAGAGCCAGCAGCCACTTACAGTAAATTCAAGGCTGGATTACCAGGTGTATACTTACACATTTAGATGAACTACAAATTTGTTAGACATATTAACTGCATTCAGACTTTCATTTGTCATGTAAACCTGTGCTTGAACCTGGTTTTAAAACCTCAATGGTTTTAATTTATTCATCATTTTGGTCAAATGATTAACACAGAAAACGTAGAGCAAAGGCAGTACTGTTCCATCATAGGAGAACTGATGCTCTGTAGCTAATATTTACTTGCATTATTAAATACGTATTTGTGTAAAGATTAAAAGAAAAGAGACATTAGACAAACTCGAGCTGATTTCCAGTGACTGTTCCTTATAAGTTCTTAAAGCAACTCTGTAAGAACCAGTTACCACTCAGGCGGTTTCATCATTTTCAGCTGTAATGGAGTAAGAGTTTTCATCCTGGCTTTCATGATGACTGAGTGGATGAGATGAACACACACACACACACACACACACACACACTCACTCAGCTGCCATGATGCAGAGGCCTTTGAGGATGTACTCTACGTGTAGCTGTGATAAAGCAAAGCACTTTGTCTGTGCTGCTGCTGCCCACTCGCTCACATAAGACTCACCCGTTTACCTTTTAAAGCTACGTCAGTACCAGCTGCCTTGTCTTAAGCGCACTTAGCAGCATGTGCTGTATATAAGAAGGAAATGAGGAGCTGCTGCCCTTGAGTGGCACTTGTGGCTTTTATCAATACTACTAAAATGCATGTTTCAACATATTGCAGCAAAGAAATGGAACTGATACCTTTGAATTGCTTCAAATCTGTCTGAATGATTCAATTCTCAAATGCTTGTCTGCACAATGAAAGGGTTATTTTTTGGTTTATACTGGCCGTTACATGATCCCTTCCTAATGTGACCACACTGTAAGAGATCAAGGGCAAAACCCACAGTGCTCTATTTATGCAAATATGTATTCAAATACAGAAATGTTATAGGAGGCATTAGCAACCTCAGTTAGTCAAATCAAGTGGGTTTCTTACACACTGTTAACAGACATTCAAAGTCACTGGTTGAACTGCTCACAAGTTGTAGACGTGGAGCCTGTGAGAACAGGTCACATGCAGATGTTGCTGAATTTTAAGGGTTAACTAGCAGAAATTCTGGGAACCTTTGCCCTAAACAATTCACTGACACAGAAGCGTCTGTGATTAGTCAGTGACTCATCATAGTCTTATCTTCTTTGACCTTGGTGAGGGTCACTGTACTGTATCTCACTGTTTGTGTAGATATTCCTGGCCCCCCACTGTCAACACAGCAGTCATCCAGGTGCTTCATTCACAGCAGAGAAGGGACAAAGAAAGAAAGAGAGACCACAGGAACCACTGTGCTCTCTCACCTGTGCCACATCCCTTTCCCCTCGCTTCCTCTGAGCGCCTGCTTTCGCGGAAACCTGCACGGAGCTGGCTCTGTGCTCCACATATAACCGCAATCTATGCATTATGCACATGCTGCACAGCAAGAAGCCTTTGTGAATACACACTTCCACAAACTGTTGCATCCTTAGTGTGTTACGGTATAGTGAAATACAAGACGCATGCTAGTAAGTTCACCACATCCTCCACCATACAGAGAAAAGCTGCACCACACAGTAGTGAGGCACTCTCACAGCAACAGCACTTTATCACACCACGCACAGATGAGTGTGTGTGCACATTGATGTGGTTTATTTGAAACTCCAGCACTTGTATTTCTTTTTGACTCCTTCCTTCCCGCCAATCACTCTGTTCGACCTATTTGACCCCAGTGAAATATAATTTTCATTTCCGTGTCACAGATTAAATGGCACGTTGACCCTGATGTGTAAACGTGGTTGACTTCATAAAACAGACCTAAACTGGCATTTTTACTTCTCTAAAACAACCTAAAAAAAAGTTTACTTTGCTTCCTCTTTTTGGTTATTTCACATTGAATGTCTCCCCCTGTTGTTGAAATATTGCACTGCATATTATACAGATTTAAGTTGATTTAAGGCTTTTAATTGTGTGGAGATCATTTATCCATTTACTTATTTACCAGTTACATGTATACATTAGACAGGAATTAGAGCCTTGTTTTAGTTTGAATGAATGAAAAACAATTATATTTTTGAGCATCAAATGGAAGAAACAGGCAATATACAATTGCCATTTAACTGTGCAGCTAGACTAAAAGCATAAACCTTGGTTTTGGTTCAATACTAAGTAATAGCAGAGTGTGTACTTCTGATACAGATGATTTTTCATTATCTAAATGTTCATATAATTTGGAGAAGTAGTGGCTATGCCTCTTATGAAAATATACTATACTATACACTGACCCTGTTTGGGACTAAGCGGTATAGAAAATGGATGGATGGATGGACTATATACTGTGCACCTCAATAAATACTGCATTGATGGCAGGATGTACATCTATAAAGCAGTGTCCTCGTTTGAACCAGCTTGCTAACCACCACTCATTCTTCATCTTGTGTTTAATACAGGAAGGAATCTGTGTGTCCAAGGACGCATGTCCATGAGGTCTTCAGCTCCGGGACATAACGTGGCCCCCGAGGAACAGCTGAGAGGTATAAAGTTACTGTGAAGAAGAATGCAGAGAGCACAAGGGCCTACTGTTCTTCATACTGCAGCTTGTATGGTCGGCAAACTTCTGCTTCACCTCTGTTAGGTTTTAATGATGCTGTGTGCCCTCTGTGCGTTTTTCAGCCATTTCTCTGGACTATGCATGTCTGTCTACATTTCGTTAGTGTTTCTTTTATCAAACTGGTTTTATGTTTAATGCCAATGTGTGATGCATCACCCCCCCCCCCCCCAAAATCCTTAACCTTGCAGAGTCTGCATACAGCATTTATCAGACATTATGAGACTCCCAGCTGCCTGTAAGCTACATGTGCAGATACACAAAGATTCCTACCGTGCCTTAAATTATGCACTTCGTCCCTAAAAGCCCAAAGCATGTGCATGTTTCATGGAAAAAAAAAAACTAAATGTAGCATACAACTCTATTCAAAGACAGTAGGCCCTTTATGTAAGACTGCTTTTGTAAATTTACCCTTAGCCCTGGGTATTCCAACGACATCTGATGGCTAAGAACAAACGAGCTTAAAAACCAAATTCTAATTATAAAAAAGCACATGTAACACATATGATTCACTGAAGCCTGGATGTGTGAAACTAAGATGGTAAAATGAGGGAAAAATCAGCAATGAATAATAAAAGGTTAAAATGTTCATATAAACAAATCCACAGCACACTAGCAGCTCTGTGACGCTGTACATCAGCATGGCAGTATTTTGTGCTAAATGCTAACATCACTATGCTAACATGCTGACATCAAGCAGGTACTATTTACAGTGTTTACCATTTTTAGCACATTAATCATTTCTAATTAGAAGGCTACTAAACATAAAGTGCAGCTGAGGTTGATGGGAATCTCTGCAGCAATTTTTTTTTTTTTTTTTTTTTTCAGTAGTTTCACCCATTTCACTGAAGACCACAAATTTCAAAGTCATACTGGTGCTAGAAGAAAAGTCAAGTCAACATTAAAGTCAGTAGGATTCATCCTCTGTGAAAATGTCATGGCAATACATCAAATGGTTGTTGAGATATCCACCAAACGGGTGGACCGACCCACACTGCAATGCTGCTAGCATGGCAAACAAAAATCTGTTATCTAGAAGTAGCATGTCTTTGCTGAATATCTCTCTGCCAAGGATTAAGAATCTGCAACTATTAGTGTGGTAGTAAAGTGGATTTCAGAAGAAACATAATGTATGACTTCATGGTAGCAAACTTGAAATCCTCACAGAACTCCCAGTGTTTTATTGTTGGTTTGATTGTTTTAGTGGAGCAGATCATCTCCATGACTCCAAAGCTGCTGTTATAAGATCCTTTCAGTTGGGTCTGATGGGGCATACAAGGTCTGATTTGTTTGGGTGAGAGGTCAAAGTGAGGGTCAGGGGTCAAAGCCTACGCTACTGTGAGTGTCTACTTTAAAAGTTAGTTTACAGACATGAGAGGGGTGATAATAGTAGAAAGAGAAAGAGTTTGACTAGTTAATTCAAAATAAATAGCTGTTTTAGGCTAAGTTTTTAAAGTAAACTATAAGTTATGTTGATAGTTGTTGTACCTAAGCTTATTTTATGCCAGTTTTTCTTGTTGCTCTTTGCCAGTCATAAGTTAAAACACTCTTTTTTTCTGAACACACTGCATTTCTCCTCTCTCTGCTTTTCCCTGCTGCTGTACCTGAGGCTGGTCTGACAGCAAAGCCCAGCGGGAGAGGAGGGTCTCTGGTGTTTGACTGACAGACCAGTGATGAGTGCACAGAGAGGGTGAAGGGTGAAGGTCAGAGGTCAGAATCCCATGGTAAGGGGGAGAGTGGAGCTGGGAGACATGCTAACGAGACAGGCTCAGTGTGGTTACATACAAGGAAAACAAATGAAAAGCCACAAACTTAAAATAATACAATGAGACTATTGATCTTTTAGTGGTGCAAAAGGACCACTGTAACAGCAACTCTAAACATTAGCAATTTGAAGAACAGTGTCAGAAAAATGAAAGGCAAAAAAAAAAAAAGTTTTTTTTTTAAAAGGCAAAAAAAAAAAAGTTTTTTTTTTTAAACTCTCTTTGACGTTGGAAGCAGGAGTTTGACAAAGAAGAATAAGTAATAAGGATATTTCAAGTTCCAGTTTTCTTTGGATCTAACTTGCATACTAAATCACATGAGAACATTTGAGCTGTTTTACTACTAACTATTTGCAATGGAGGACTGTGAGATGGGGTTGAAAGGTCTTGGGAAGGATCTTATGTAGACTTTAATATAGTTTGTCATACTATACTTATGTATTTAAGAAATATTTACAACATTAGAAATGTTTTTATACTATATGTCTTAGAACTCTGAACATGAAATCCTGTCATGACAGCTAACAGACAGGATGTGTTCCTATTCACAAAATCACTTCTACATTGCAACCCGGTCATACGGCGTGCACACAGAACATCTGAGTGTATGGATGCATTTTGTAAAAATTAGATGTCTTATTATGTAACTTCAAATTTCTAATTGTTACATTTTCTCTGTGGTCAGTTTTTGTGTCTTTATGGTTATGTTGCTTTCTTTTTGTGTTTTTTAGCTAAGCTGTACGACTTTCAAATTAACCTGTGTCACTTCACACAGAGACACAGGACCAGGGCCCCCGACCTCTGAGGCCTGCACAGCAATCCATCAGTGACTCACAGAAACCGACTGTATTTATTTCAGATTTTACTTTGTGGAACATAAAACACTTGATAGGTAGGCATTGTCTCATTTTCAAGGTCCTCAGACAAAAACTTGCAAATTACCAAACATTTAAACAAAAAAATGAACATGTAGTAATAATAAAATAAAACAATCCAAGCAACACAAAACAATATTAGCAAGCACACACTCACATAAGGGCTCTCTATCAGTCCAAAATGACATCAGTGTCACAAAACGTAGAAGAAATAACAAATTAACACTGCTAAAGTAATACTATGTCTATAGACTAAGACAAACTAAAGAAAGAGAGCAAATATGATCAAAAACAAGAACAAGGTTGACCCCATCTAGGAACTGATGTTTCTGTGGAGTAAAAAACATATCTGACACTTGTAGTGCTGAACTGTCTCCACTGGATGTCATTATACAACAACGTATAACCAAATGTTACCTTCTCCCCCTGTCTACACAGATACATAAACACAAATACAGGCAAGCACACACACGTGCTAAACATACTCTTACACAATATAAAGCTACTTTCAGCCAGTCACGACTTTCTTCTGTCTTTAGGTCTACATTTCTCCTCTCCCATCATTGAGAGATCAGCATGTGTGCATCACATCACACCGACAGGCGGCGCTGCTCCTGTGAGATCTCGCATGGCTGTGTGTCTCAGCAGGAGTCTGGTCCTCTACTACGCACAGAGCAAGAGATTATGTAATGTTTACTATTGTGGGACTGTCTTTCGCAAGGTTGTTTGTTTTCTCTTCTTCTATGCAGAGGTTAAAGGTCACAATGCAGATGGCATATATCAAAGTGATCACACGTGCACGATGCCCCTCTCACGCACGTGCCAACATCTAAAACATTTTGCCGTCAGCACCGAGCACTAGTGAGTCTCCACCGCTGCCTGTAAGTTACAAACACGGGGTTAGCCGAGTTTACACCAAACCACGCCCCCTCAGTTCAGCTGGTGGCAACACTCGTGATGACATCACCGCCTCGTGCACCCATTGGCCATGAGACGTCGCACACCTGTCCAATCGCCTGCCGGTGAAGTGACGCCAGCAGAGGCGAGTCCCGTTCACTTTCAGTGGTATGGGCGGGGCGGAGAAATCACCTACGTCAGAGTGAGCTGGATTCTGCGCTGTGATTGGATGATAGCGGTGAAAGTGAGCGTCTGTTGCTGAGAGAAAAGGGAGAGGGAGAGCTTTTACAAGGGGCACCAATACGTCCGCTGCACCACACGAGAGTTGTTCAGCTCTGAAAGAAACTTTATGAAGATGCACTCATGCTTATTTTTCTCCCATGTCAGTGCTTTTACTCTAAATAATAATACAAAACAGCAGATGCAACAGTTTGGAGGGTGGGCAAAAGACTAGGACTACTGCATCGTGATGCTTTAATCCTACTGCACCAACCTTTATTTGGACACGTATAAGAGTTGATGCATTATCACCGTCTGCTCAAGGATAGCGTTTGTGCTGTCAATTATGGTAAACATACTCCTTTGCAGAAGGGGAGGGGACATTTGTGCCTTTCTATTGGCTCTTGGTTATTTGCTCCCTCCTCTCGACCCTCCCTCATGCTGTTCCTAGGGTTCCCAAAGCTCTTATTGGATACTGTAAAGTTTGGGACAGGACACCGGTCTAGCTAAGCTTCCTCGTCGCCATTGGCTGGGTGGCCCCGTCTGTCAGGTAGACTTTGACAACCCGCCACGCCCTCTGGTATGTGGCGCCGATACTGATTGGGTACTGTACCTGTCAGCGACCTCTGATTGGTCGGCTCACCCAGCTGTTAGTGGTTCATTCACCATTTTGTGACTGTAGTGGAAAAGAAGAGCGATAGTTTTTTTGTATCCTTGTTTGAGTTTCTGTGGGAGAAAGAGATGATTTGCGGAGGAAAAGTAAAGTGTGAGTCTAGACCGCACAGTCATCAAAGCCGACAGCAAAGGGATGTTACGGAGAATTGTGCGAGCCTCCTCATCAGCAAAATAAGACCCTACATTTTTCTCTGGGAGGGGAAAATCTCTCTTTAGGTGAGTTGAAACTAAGTTATCAAAAGACAGTGAAGCTCAAATGACATGAAATTTCCATTTCAGAGGCAACGAGTTGAGAATTAACTGCCAGCGGTCGGTCGGTTGTTCCGATGCCGTAAGAAGACATGGATCGACACCGCTTTCGAGCCGAGAGAAAGAAGGGGGGCGGTGTAACAGCCTAAAACTTTCTCAAATGTTTTTGCGCAGTCCCACGGACGACCAAGAATCATTTGGGCTCCCCTCGGATGGTGTTACAGTATTGTGCTTAATGTTGAGTACTTTTTCTTGACCTTAGTTTTCGAGTTTTGCGCGGAGCAGCACTAGCGTAGTAAAAACAATCGACCTATTTGCAGCACTGCAGCCCAAATGTTTACTAATAGCTACGCAAGCTAATCTTGATGTTTATCATCCACTTTCCTTGTTGTCTGGCTAACGGTGTCATTATATGGGCACTATCTGCTTCCGTTGCGTACTACGACTACTACGACCACCACTACTACTAATGTTACTGAGCTGCTTACTAGAGCGAAACAGCAACATGGGAAAATTACAGCTTTTTCCAAGTTTGAAAATCATATGACCAGACTGTCACCCTACAGGCACCATGAAGGGAGCTTCTGTGGCGTGGGTGCGTGAGTACTCTAGGCGTTGTAGTGAATATTTGCATGCCAAACATCGTTGTATGAGGAAGAACTTGGCCCGTCTAGTTGGCAAAATAATACGTCACTTGAAACCGGTTGTTTGTGTTTGATACCGAGCACACTACAGCAACGCAGACCGGCTGACTGCCTCGGATCGTAATACTCCTTTGACATTGTGTAGCGCCTCTCGTAGTACTCGCAGAGATTAGCGCAAAGAATCTGGGGATGCATTCGGTGTTTTCTCGGCTTTTCCCTCGCCGACACTCCACTTTTCACCGCTGCAATTCTGCAATTCACCCTTGACATCTCTGACTGTGCAGTTTTAAACAGCTTAGTCATATTTTGTCTTGTGTATATTTTAAGCGGTAGGTATTTAATACTTGTTTTTGACATTCACGGTTAAAGTGTCCTCATCTGCCCTGCAGATTTACACTGAGGCATGCATTCATTTATTGCACTTGTTTACACACAAGACACATTCCTGATGGTGTAGGCACCTTTGTGTAGCTTGTGGAGCAGCTGGTCATTGATGTGGCATTGGCAGTTCTGCCATTTGGTCCCAAATAGGAACAGTCACCTGTGATCAGTGCTACAGCCTCCTGATCCATATGGGCCAACCAGTGGTTCTTTGTTATTGATATAATATCTACTGTCAGATATACCATCCGCTAAACAGTTGCCAGTATTCAAACTACGTCACAATGGATGTGCTCCATTACAAGTGCACACACACACACACACTTGCATACTTACACACTTCACAGCTTGGACTCTTGCTGCACTTAAAATACCTTTAAAAAATGTTTTCTTTTACTTGTGTCATGTTGCCTGTACGATCACATCCCACTCAGTCATGAGAGCAAAAACCAAAGTCTGTGTGTGTGTAACAGAGAGCCTTTTGTGTGAGTGTGTTCCCTGGTGACCCAGTTAAGGGCAAAGCTGTCCTGCCATGCTGGAGGAGTGTGTGGGGGACATGGCAGGCTTCATGATAACGGCCGTACTTCTGTTTTTCTCTGCTGTACCAGTGTGCGTTGTCTCTCCATCCCTGTCTTCATCACTGCAGCCCTGCGCCCATACAGACACCCATAAAATGCTTTTAGGAGAGGGATGAGCTGCAGTGTGCCTGGTAACTATGTAGACACTGACATATAGTTCAGTTGCAGCACTGGAAAAGGTAGACACAACCTGGAGACAGTTGTATATGCATTCAGCCTATTCCTTTTGTACTATAAGCAGTTGAAATGCCCCCATGTGTCACACACGCAAATCCTGTACCATGTTGCAGTGGGCATAGGCTAAATTCTCTACAACTGACTGAATAGACGGGCATCAAGACAGAGATTTATTAGGGTTGTATTGTCCAGTAATAGATACAATACAACCTCTTGTACTCCATGTGGAGCTGACAATGAGATAAGGTTTCCTCATGAATGACCGTTATGCACATATGTGTAGGTGCATGTATTTGGTGCATATACGCACCCTCGCCTAATACGCTAAAAATCAGCACCAGGGTGCTTTTTGCATGCAAATGAATGTTTTTAACTTCAAAGTTGTTTTTATTCCTTTTTTTTTTTTACATGAATGCAGAACTTAAACTGGTGAGTGTGATCTCCTGTGTATGTATGTGTTTATATAGCGCAATGAACGTGTGTGTGTGTGTGTGTATGAGACAGTACATAGGTCCAAGGGAGATTTTAACAGTTTAAGCATGACTGTGCTGTAAAATCTGGGGGGAGTGTTCAGTGTCTTTGTAAAGTTGAATGTTGCTATGCTGTGGAGGGGGGTGATGTTATGTGCTTCTGTATGTTTCACCTAGTAAACAGCATCTTTTGCTGTTAAGGAGGAGTTTAGTCCAGCGCCATGGAGACAATAGTCGTCGATTATCTGTCTCTGCAGGATTTACAGTAGCCTTAGACTTGACCAGCAAATGTCTCACTCATAGCCTGCTCTAAAGCTGGAAGGTGAAGACGACTCACCTAAATTATGGCCGAGTTTCTCTTTGCTTCGTCTGGATTCAGCCCAGAGGACAATTGGGATTTTTCAGCAAATTCCCTTATATTTATGACCCTAATATTATAAAAAGTTTTGATTTACTAGCTAACAAACTCTCAGAGTTTCAAGGCTGCAGTCATTTTTTTAAATTTCCAGTTTAGGGGAGGTTTGTTGAGCACACACTGCTTATGGCTTTTTTTATTTAGGACTCTGTGAAATGTCAAAATCTTATGTCATTTATTATATGGCAGCAATGATATTATGTATGCTCCACACATAAACTTATTACTTCCCACTGTAATTTAGTATGACATATTTGGTGTCTTTGGCAACCTTGATATTTTTGTCTTCTTCTTAAAACACCCTGTGGATAATATGATTGCTTATCCCCACTACGTGTATTTTAAGGATGAACTCACAAATGAGTACATGTAGCTGGAGAGTTGTAATATTTTTCATAAACTCTTAGATTGGACTTTCTGGTTTCCAACTTGAATTAGATACCAAGCTCTGAATATGAAGATAGCTCACTGTCTAATTCTGAATCTCCTCTATTATCTACATGTTGTGTGCACACTTCGCCGTGCTGTCCAGTACCTTCGATGTTACAGAATGTGAAGACACACACACATGCCTGCCA